GGGGGGGGGGGGGGGGGGGGGGGGGGGGGGGGGGGGGGCGGGGACAGGGAACCGTTACTTCTGCTTGTTGCACAATAACCTGGCCTGGGGGGCCAGGTCCAGCCTTGGGAGGGAGGGAAAAGGGTGTAGTGATCCTTTTTTACAGGCTTATTTGTCCTACCCACCTGCCCGAAATGACTGGGAAAGGAAGGAATTTGAGTAGGAGGCCCCCAGACATAACCTTGCTGTAGCTGTAAACTGGGGAGATGGGCTAGGATCAATAAGTGCCAAAAGGAAAGTGTGATGGAGTTAGGTGGGGGGGTTGTGTGTGTCTGTGTGTGCGTGTGTGTGTCTGTGTGTGCGTGTGTGTGGTGTTTGCATGCCTGTGTATTAAGTGTGTGAGAGACAGGCAACAGCTGTCAGTTAACCAAACCCCTCTAAGAAAGACATGGCCAGGGTGCACTGTACAGGGACAAGGGCCTTAGGCCCTGGGTATGAAGTCAACGGCATGTGCCTGCTCCCTAAGGCTTGGGGGGTGGGGGGAGGGGAGCACAGCGCAGACAGGAAGAGGAAGAGAGGGAAGGAAAGAAAGAAAGAAAGAAAGAAAGAAAGGGAAGGTACAAGCACTGGGTGAGGACCGCCAAAGACCACTCTTGGAGTGGCAGAGACAGGACAAGTGCCCTACAGCCTCGGACAGGGTGGAGCTGCTTGGGAGCGCCAAGGGAAAGGGGGAGGGGAAAGGCATGAGACGAGCTGAGAAAGGACTATGGGGGAAAGAAGGTAAACAGCCAGATTTTCTCCTCACACTGACTGGCCACCCAGGGCCAGCTAGGCAGGCCCCCAGAGATGGTTTCTTATTTATTATTGGTTGTGTCTTACCTACCAGGATGCAACATTGCCCAGCTATGCCTGAGCAATCAATATACTGCTTTTCTAGCTGGCACCATGACCAAGGCCACAAACGTTTCCCTTTTTTTTTTTTTTAATAAACCCACAATTACAAAAAAGACAAAGTCAAATAAATACTATGGACTGCTACATGCTTGCCTGTTTGTGATTACTGTCTGGGGCCCCATCTGCTTCAACTGTCTGGCACACAACATCCCAGAACAAGCTATCATGCAAGGGGAAAGCTAAGCCCTCCTCGGCCCCAAGGGCAACCATCCACACACTTTATTTCATTTACATTTATAAACAGTTCTGACTACATTGTTGGGCTGATGAACAATACAGTCAGAAGTAAGCAGCTTCAGTAGTACTGGGCCAGGCCCGGCCAGCTCTCAAGGCATAGGGTCTGTGCTAATCTCACAGGAGGAAGTGAGCCAGTTCAGGGCTCAACAGCTGAAATGCCAATGGAGACACAGGCTGTGAAGTCACTGACACCCTATAGTGTTTCAGGAACAGAACCAGAGACACTACCTCGGGAAGTGAGCACAGGCTTTTGACCCCCAAGGCTCATACAAACTCCGTGAAATCATCCACGGAAGAGATGAGCCGTTTCCTCTGGCCTGTCTCATAGGTGGGAGTGGAATCTGATGGGGCCTGGGGTGGGGACTTGGGGTGAGCTGGTGGATGCATCTGCATCAAGGGGAAGCCAGAGTTCGGGTACTGGGTTTCTTCTCGGATCTAAGAAACACAAGAGGAACAAGTCAGGCTAGAAAGTATGAATTCCCCTACATCTTCACACATCTTTTCCACCCTCTTCCATACAGTCTTTCTTTGTACATATTAGTGTTTCAAATATCTGTTACTGAGCCACTAGATTAACCTGTTAGATATGATGGTTCTCCCTTTGGCTAGTGTGCTTAGCAAAGTATGACATTTAACTGAAGAGAGATGTTTCAAATTAGGCTTCCTCCTTCCTAGGCACTTCTAGGAACAAAGAGGGTTCACCTATAGCTGGAAGGACATTTTCCCCAAAAAGGGTCCTCACTGTTCTGCCCACTTCAATTTTTAAGGAAGCCATGTTTTTAACTTGCTTTTAGTATCTAATGGTCACTGCTCCCTATCTCTGTTTTTGGTACTTTTTTCTTTGGCCTCACACCTGAAAGCAAATAGGTCAAGATAACCATTTCACAAATCAAGCAAGTCATGGAACTGAGTTGCTCCATCCTTTAGCCTACAAAAGGGCCCCTTTGCAGTACAGATGTATGTATGTATGTATGTACATATGTGTACACACACACACACACACACACACACACACACAGCCCTGCTCCGCACCTACCCTGTGCCGGAGCCGTTTGATGTGGCGCAATCTGGCGATCCACTTGGAGGGATAGATATCTGTAGGGTTTGACCTGCTGTGATGGACTTGGGAGGCCATCTGGTTTGAAAGAGAGTTAAATGGTCAATTGCTTAGCACAAGAACCATGGTGAAACATTAAGCTGGATGACTGAACCACTCCAGTTAGATCCATCTAGATACCGGCCACAGTTCAGTCTTTGCCCTTCATTCCTCTTTCTCAACCCACTCAGGTCCCCAAGTAGACGCCAGGCTGAAGTGGATAACACTCACATTCGCGTGCAATGCCATCTGGCGGGCAACAAAGGGTAGGTTTCGGTCTGATACAATTTTAGCCACACTGGTATCCACAAGGCCTTCCATATCTAAGGAAGAAAAAGGCAATGTTGGAGTGTACACAAGCCTTAACTGTACAACCAGGCTTCACAGGTTTTTAGTGTCAGGGTGCTCCCATATCCAAAGGCTTACACAGATCTCCATGAAGTCCCTAAGTGGATGGAAGACAGATACAAACTACAAACACTGCTCATCTGGCCAAGCTCACATGCTCCCTACTATTATCACTTGCCTGGGTCTCAGCCATAAAAACAATTTACATTTTGTTCCTTTTACTAAGGTCTGTAGATAGTCTAAGATGTTCCCACACAAATCCCAGAAATTGCTGCCAGATACTGCTTTGGTCTTACAGCACAGAGAGTTGCCAGCCTGGCACAGCCTTTATCAACCACTTGTCCCAGGCCAAAAGCATACCTGTAGGTAAATGGAATGGGCAAAATTGGATTATCCAAGTCCCCTTCCAGCAAAGAAGGAGCCCTTTACCTTTCCGACACTGCAGCGTGACCAAGTTACATTCATAATCCAGAGGAGTGATTATCACATGGACAAAGTTGAATTGGCCCTGAGAAGAAACAACAAAATTCTTTTGTGGATATGTGAAGTCACAATTATATAAAGGCAGCCCCAGGCACTGGGCTACTCATCTCAAAAGAGTAAAAACTCTTTGTGCCTAGGCCAGTTCTTGGAAAAGGAGACTACAGAGTAGTCACAAAGGAGATGGCCCCGTGGGACTCTATTGCTTCTGTTTCCATTCTATAACAAAATGTCCACTGCAATTTGGGGAGAGAGTGTGTAGAAGAGGGAAAAGTCAATGTTCCAAAGAGAAATCTTACCTTGATGGTGCCCAGTTTGAAGTCTTCTCCAGAATCATTGTAGATAATTGACACAAAGTCATTCCCCAGGTGCCTCTTCTTGTCACAGCGGTATTTGTCCAAGTCTTTGGTGGGCATCAGAGTGGCGATGTGAAAGATAGCTGGGAACCAGAACCAAGGGGACACATTGAGACCAGATAGCAGGACAGGCTGCAGGCAAGCAGGGCATGTGAGCCAGCTGCCCAGCCAGAACAACACATACCACTCACTGCTTTCAAGCAATGCCAAGTGCCAGTGACCATTCGTTGAAGCAGCTGAAGCTTGAATACACCGCTCCCATCCAAAAGTAAATGGGATGTGCTCATGAGGACAGGGTGAGGGCACCTGGTTATCCCAGGAAGGGTGAAGAAAGGGAATTTTTTTCCCTATATACTTCCCCCTGCAGGAGGTCAGTGCCAGTCCTGGGCAGAGTGCCACCCATGGCAATTTGCCCTGCTGGGTACAGATTATTATGCTAGGGGGAGGTGGCATCACCAAGTCATCTACATCAAGAGGTCTGAATCCCATACCATGCTGCTCCCTTGACAAAGTTCAATAGGGGCCTGGCACCTGACTGGGAGTATCACCTCAGGGGCCAGAGGAGAATAGGATGGTCTGGTTCCCCTGCACCATGATTAGATTCCTTCCTACCAGAAGATCTTTAGACTATGTGCCCGGCACTGTGCTAAGTATTTTACAAATACTATCTCACAACAACTTTGAGAGGTATTGCTATTATTATCCCCACTTCCAGTTGAAGAAACAGGTAAAACAGAGGTTAAGTGACTTGCCCAGGGTCACACAGTAAGTATTTGAAGCTGGATATGAACTTGGGTCTTCCTGACTCCAGGTCCAGGCTCTATTCACTGTTGCCAACAGCTACCTTGGCCCATCATATTGCCCAAACCTAGCCATGGGGGCTGAACACAACAAATCCAGTCACAGCCTTCAGGGACCTTGGCAACAAAACATCCCTTACAGAGCACCCCTCAGCCTCATCCTACTCCCAACCCTCTGAGCCCCTAATCCATCTTAACTAGGAGCTACCTAGGAAACTGGGTAGGCCCTAAGAAGTGTGTCACCACAAAGATATTGTCATAGCCAAGCCTCAGGGCACAGATGGGCAATGCCATAGGTCAGGATGAAACCAATGTTACATCCTGCCGTGACTAAGAAAACTTGTCCTTTGCAGGACACTGCCTGACATGCTTCCCAAGACAGGAGACAGAGGACAGAACTGCTCTTTACCTTGCATGATATCATCGTGCCAGCAGTAGGTGAACTGCCCGTCCTCCCCACACACATCCAGGCCCCCCAGGTAGATCTTGTCTGGCTGGCAATCTTTCAGTTCAATGAGCTTCCCCAAGCCTGTCAAGAACTCCGTGTACCTGTAGGAGCCATGCTCATTGGACAGGATGGCGATCTCACTGTTGCTCTGGAGAAGA